GCATGAACATCGCATAGGCCTGCTGCAGGGACACATGAGGACTGCAGATGTGGCCAGAGCAATAAACTGCAATGTCTATAATGTAAGACACCTAAGACAGTGCCACAGATAATTGTCAGATAATCGTCCTTGCAGTAGAAAATTGCTTGTAATCACGTGTCCCCCCAGACATGATCGAGAACTTGCAATTGCCTTGGTGGAAGAGTGGTGTAACAAGAACTAACAAATCTGGTGCAGTCCATGAGATGCACTGTAGTATTTAAAGCAGCAGGTGGTCACACCAGATACTGACTGTGTGTGTATATATATACTGACTGAATGTGTGTGTGTATATATATATATATATATATATATATATATATATATATATATATATATATATATATATATATATATATATATATATACTGCTAAAAAAAAAATAAAGGGAACACTTGGAGTTATATTGTGCTATTTAAGTGTTCCCTTTAATTTTTGGAGCAGTGAACTTTGCTTCAAGAGATCACTTACTCATGAATGCTAAAACAATCAGAGTAATGTCTTGAAGGGACAAAGGCAGACTCTCCCAAATCCTCTGTGAAACCAACTGTTCTCTTATTTACTTTCCTTCTATCTTGTCCAATGCGACAGTATTTCTTCTTGTCTTTAAAAAGAATAATATATGCAGTTATCGTAGTTGCATGAATATGTATAATTATTAGCATGATATATGCATTCATTATATTGTCTTACTTAAGAGCTAAATTATAAATGTAATTTTGCCATGGTGATGCACTTTTGTTGCTCATTTGTGAATCATCAGGGATTATGCCAGCTTCTTTTTATGCCTGTAAAGGATCCAAATGAGGCTTGCTTTTAGCATTTCTTGTTCATTCCATAAAAAACAGTAAGTCTGGGGGTTGAAGAGAAAAGGTTCATCATCAGCTTTCTAAGGGACACAGAGTTCAGCTCCAGTGTGAGGGAAAAGGGGTTGGAAAAGTTTATTTATTCAAGACATGAAATATAGGAATTTTGAAGATATGAAGATATATGGGAAGGGCATCATAATAGATTAGCTAAATTCTGAGCTGAGGCCTCCATTATTTCTTTTTATAACTGCAATGGAAATAATTCGATTGACATGGCATCTATGTGGTGGCAGCCTACTGAATAGGGCTGACTATCTCTTCATCTCCCTCTTGTCCCTCTCTTACTTCCTTATTAGCCTCTCTCTGTGGTATCCAAGATCCTGTCGTTTTTATCCAAGACTAATTTCAGGTTCTATATCCTGGTCCACATAACAAACCATCTGATGGCCTGTGCTTTCATGAATGTGTACATTGAAAGAAAATCTCGTTTGAAATCCCCCCCAGCCCCCCCTTGAATATGACATGGGATTGTGGGACAAAGAAGTATCATATAATCCCCTTAACAATTTGGAAGTGTGTAACCTACATCCAGTGGATCCAACTGTAAAGTTGCACTGTTGCAACGGGAAAATAAAGGCACATGGCATCAGCTTACATCTCCATCAAATTGAGTCTTACATATGTCAAACTGGCAGCACTAGGGTAAATGGCCAGGCAGATGATACACTTGCTTTTGGCAGAAAAACAAGTTAGCTCACTTGAAGGTATGGAAGTTACATCAGCTGTCATACACTCACTGGGCACCTTCACAGTGGCCTGTAGCCCTGCTCATTCATGCAATTACCCAATCATGTAGCAGAAGCACATGTCAAAAGCTTCAGTTAATGTTCACATCCAACATCAGAAGGGGGAAAAATGTGATTTCAATAACTCTGACTGTGGCTTGGTTGTTGGTGTCAGATAGGCTTGTTCTCCTACAGGATTTTCACACCCAAAAGTCTCAAAAGTTTACAAAGAACAGTGCAAAAAACCGCAAACATCCAGTTCTGCAAGGGGAAATGCTTTGTTAATGAGAGAGGTCAGAGGAGAATGGCTCAAATAACTCAAATAACCGTTCCTTGCAACTGTGGTGAACAGAAAATTCACAACGTATGACATGTCAAACCTTGAGGGCTATAACAGCAGAAAACCACATTGAGGTCCACTCCTGGCAGCGAAGAACAGAAATCTGAGGCTACAGTGGGCACAGGCTCACTGAAACTGGACAAATGAAGCTTAGAAAAAACACTATGCCTTGCCCACAGCTGTTCCTGCTAATATCCTGCTCATTTTTATTCAGTCTTTTAGATGATACTACATCATCTACAGTATGTGATGCATTTGCAGAATCTTTAGTAGCTACCTGGTCAAGATTACATTTGGAAAAACTTTTTTTTGTTAGAAAATATTATGGGCAGGTACAAACAAAAATAATAACTACGTATGTGGGATTAAAAAATGTCATGTCTCGTTTTTATGAACTTGAATGATGAGCGGCATATGGCGGCATATATAGTAATATTTAATAAACACAAGCACTTGTTGTTTAGAGCACACCCAGCTCAGCTTTTAATTTGTATACAGCTACAGATATGGATATTTGGAGCGCTTAACAGATAAAGATATGGATACTGCTGGTTAAATTAAAACAGGGTATTTATGGGATTTAGGCATAGTGGGAATATTTTTAATTAATCTTTTATTCACATAGAAAAAAACAACTTGTTGTCAGGTCAGAGTGGCCAAATAATGCACATCCACAGACATATCCATATTTCTGCATGCTTACAAATCCTAATATAAAACGAAAACCTATAGTTTAGGATATTTATATAATGATTTATAAGTAGAGCATTTAAAATTCCGGAAGCTGTGTTTACGAAGTTTCAGTGAGTACTTAGCTATGAAGTGTATTCATTTTTTTATGACATGATTTCATAATTGACAGGTTCGTTTGCATGCACACTGTAGGGGTGCGGAGATAGAGCTTCATACTGTGTGCAGTGTAACCTTAGGATGAATTTAAAAGTGGCTGTGTTCCAATAATCACCAATTGTGTCTCAGTTCAGCCAATCTGTATTAAATACTGTACATTTAATTTCATGAGATTAATTCACTTTTTCTTTGTTTCTTGCTCTCTTTTATTGATTATGTAGGCCTTGCTGTGTATCTGTATACACTTCCAAAGCAAAATGGATCTTTCACTATCAGTATTGACTCATCTGTTGTGCTTTGAGCAGTTCCTCAAACAGCAGGACACACACACACACACACACACACACTCTGGCAACACACAGCACCATTGAAATGCGTATTAACATGTGCTTTGCCTAATAAAAGCCATGCAGTATCAAAATCTGTACTGTGATATTTTTACCGTAGACCTGGCATCAGTCTCAGTGGGATGCGAGTGAGTTGGGGGGGCGGGGGTATGGCAGAAACCACTGAGCAAAGAATTCTCTAACTGAATAACTAAATATCAGCCAAGTTTACATGGGTATCACTAATTATAATGGATCAGTATTGTCTTCTCATATCATGCTGCCCACCTGTCAGAGGTAGACTGGGGACTGTGGGAAAGCAAATTTTGGGTGAAAGGAAGGTGAACACAACAATTAAACGCTACCGTGGTTGTTGATTGCTCATCGTTCCATTCTCTCTTTCTTCCTCTCTCTTTCTCTCACTCTCCCCCACACACACTAGTGATGTCTAATGGATTTGTTTAGTGAAAGAGACAGGGAAAATGTAAAAGTCCATTATGCGACAGATAATGCTTGGCGGAATTTCTGGGCTGCATCACAGAGCATGTGAAATACCTCAGTAACAGAAGACCTTCTGAAAAACATCGATTGTCTATGTTGATAGGAATCTGTGATCTGGAATACAGTGTCAGAAGCTCCAAATTTGTTGTTGCTTAATTAGTAATGTGTATTTTCCACATTTTGCCTATAAAAACAGGAGAAAATGGAAATCATATGAACTTTACATTAAAATGGAGGGCATTTTATGTAGGCCTATTAAAAATTGACATGCAAAATGTTTCCAATTGTAAATAAGCATTGCTGGAATTCAACAGTGTAGCCATGCTTGGTGTTCATTCATTTCTAAAAATAAATAAATTTTTTTGTTTGTTGTTTTTTGCTGTGGAGGCTATAGTTCTGTATTTTCCCCTTGACATACAACACATGCCTCATGCACAGAAACATTACATCCTGGTCCTGTAAAATCCTCCTTTCCCCCTTTTTTTGGAGAGACAGAAATGATACGGGACCAGAGTGCAATGTTGGCATATTGGGTGGTTTGCTCAACAATGAGGACTCTTTTATTAATCGCATTGAGCCCGTAGATAGACTGTTATTTGGATGCTTTGACTGACTGCTCATGATTTCTGAAGCTTTATGGGTTAGAATTAATTTGGCATATAGTTAATTTGCTAGTTTTAAAGTTTTATACGGGGCTAGACACAAATCAAATAATATCTCTGTGGCAAAAAAATTATGGAAATGGAACATAATGAATGACATTTCACTACTTTTCTGAAATAAAATGCTCACTTGAGGTGGAAAACTTTTTTGTTAATAACAAGAACAGGTAAATTGCAGTTTGATGACTACATAAGGCATTTATCATGAAAAAAAATAAATGAATAGAAACTGCTATGGATGATTGGCCATTTCCAGCCATAGTATATTTTCTAGTGAGATGGGAAAAAATGGGAACAGAAATGTGCCTGATCTAACACCTCCTGCACAGTATCATCTACACATCTCTGAAATTGGACTTCTTAATAAGTCCAATATTTTACCTATAGTGCATTTATGAAAATTTTTCCAGTTGGTTCCGAATACTGTAGTCCTAAAATGATCTTATCTGTGCACCAGTACCTGGTTCTCCACTGCCTCCACTGTTCCAGTCCCTAAGTCCCAACACTGTACTCTGTTCTTATTGTAATGATCTCTACCACTTTCTATCCCTAAAGTGCATTCTACTGATCCCAAACTAGCCCTGGCCCATCATATGGTCCTACTTCTTATCTGCAAAGATAATAGCATTGAAAATTATGTTTGATTATTAATTCTGGTCTGTAGTTTCAACTTATACTCATATTCTAAGGGTTCTGTAGTGTAATGGTTATCACGTTCACCTCCCACACAAATGGTTCTTGGTTCAAATCTGAGTGGAAACATGTGGAAATGTTTTTTTAGGTCCAGTGGTGGTTCAATGGTTAAGGCTTGGGGTTACTGATCAGAATGTTCAGGTTGAGTGTTCAAGCCCCAGCGCTGCCACTGCTGAGCCTTTGAGCAGGGCCCTTAATCCACTCTGCTCCAGAGGCACTGTATCATGGCTGACCCTGTGCTCTTCCTAACAAGCTGCGATATGCGAAGAAAGGAATTTGACTGTGCTGTAATGCAGTGGTTTTCAAAGTGAGGGCCGCCAGTGGGCCTCAACAATTTGGTGTTAAAAATAAATAAATACATGATTCTCACTATCAGACAACCACACACTCACAATCAATTCGTAATGTAAAGATGAAAGAGGTAATTATTAATAAAAAGGGGGGGGGGGGATATATTCTGTATTTTGTATGTGTTTTAAAAACATCTTACAAAAGGGGGGCCTCGGACAAATGTTTATGTCATTTGGGGGGCCTTGCCCTAGAAAAGTTTGGGAACCCCTGCTATAATGTATACAAAAAATAATGGGTGTTTCCTTTCAATGGCTCCTTTTGGTTGCTTGCCATGCCACCCAAAATATTTCATAAAACTCTGCTTCATCACATTACTGGCACATAGTCTGACAGCTCACTGCTATATTATCTGGCTGTATGTTTAGTTCAATTTCTGAATCCTCTGTACTGTCTGTCCCAGAGTTCACTACCAGTTCACCACCTGGAGTCCTGGACCGATCTATGGGTGTGCTGTGTTCACAAGCCTGTTCGACTGGCCTTTGGCACTTCAGTCCTCCAAGCCTCCACTGCTACTGTAATCTGTTACCCTCGCAGGGACTTTGTCCAAGGCCCAGCCTAGCTTTGTACTGTTCTGGCTTCTCTTTCTGTCTCTGTCACTTTTACACACCCATGTTCTTACATGCCTGTAGAAGGGAGGGGCTTTGTGCAGGAGAGGAAGGTGGGGAAAATTCATTAATTTATCTACAGTAACCATTTTATCCTGGACAAGGTCTTGGTTGATACAAAGCATACCCTGGGAACACTGGATGAGGGGTTGGAACACAAACAGCACACACATTGGAACACTCATTCACACCTAATTTCAATTTAGAGTAGCCAATCCCCTTACTGCCATGTTTTGGGAGATAGAAGGAAACCAGAGAACCCAGAGGAAATCCATACATATAACGGGAGAATGTCTGCTCAAATACAAATATATATTCAACTGAGATGAGGTGAGCGGAAAGTGCATCAACCTGGCAGGTAGCCCAGAATTTGTTCTTGGTTGGTTAAGTGCATGAGTGTTCCGAGCTGTTGTGAGAGCAAAAATCTGGAATGCAGAAAGAAAGGGACCAAACTGTACTTTTCCTTGTCACTGTGGTGTACCATCAGGGGTACATATTTTGTATATTTAGTATGTATATTTCCCCTGGAAATGTGTATATAGTGTACCTTTTAAAGAATATTTTATGATACATAATCGTAACTTCATGACCACTGATGCACCGTTAAAACTGTACTCTAAAAGCTAATTAAAGACACACCACATGCACCTTCTCATGTAGAAGATACATACTACCGTACAAAACATGTCCCCTTGATGGTATTGCCCCAGCCACAAGGGAAAGAACAGTTTGGTACTTTTATTTCGGAAAGTGTACGGTTCCCCATGGACTAGTTTGAATTGAATAATTATCTCAAATGAAAACCCTACACACAGGCAAATGTTGTGACATCATTATAGTCTAAAGAGGCGATATGGTTTGTATAGACTGTAACATTTTTTGAAACAAAATGGTGCAATCACAGACATTTACACTCAGTGTCCACTTTATTAGGATTACCTGTACGCCTGCTCATTTATGCATGTTATCCAATCAGCCAATCATGTGGCAGCAGCACAGCAGATAAAATCATGCAGATACAGGTCCAGAGCTTCAGTTAATGATCACATCAAACATCAGAATGGGGGAAAAGTACTATATCTGTGACTTTCACCATGGCATGGTTGTTGGTACCAGATGGGCTGGTTTGAATATTTCACAAACTGCTGATCTCCTGGGATTTTCAGACACAACAGTCTCTAGAATTTACACAGAATGGTGCGAAAAAGAAAAAACATCCTGTGAGCAGAGGGTCTGCAGGCTGAAACACCTTGTTTATGAGAGAGAGAGAGAGCAGAGGACAATGACCAGATTGGTTTGTGCTGCCAGGAAGGATATTGTAACTCATATAATCATTTTTATTTTTATTTTTTTACAACCGTGGTGAGCAGAAAAGCATCTCAGCATGCACAATGCACCAAGCCTTTAGGCATATTAGCTACAACAGCAGCAGACCACGTCAGGTTCCACTCCTGTCAGCCAAAAACAAGAATCTGATGGGCACAGACTTGCCCAAATTGGACAGCTGAAGATTGGAAAAAGACCAGATGTTTTTTTTTCTTACCTTCAACTGTCCAGCTGTTGTGTGAGTCTGTGCCCATGATAGCCTCAGATTCCTGTTGATGGTTGACAGGTGTGCAACCTGATGTGGTCTGCTGTTGTTGTAGCCCATCCACCTCAAGGTTTGATGTTTTGTGCATGCTGAGATGCTTTTCTGCTCACCACGGTTGTAAAGAGTGATTATATGAGTTACTGTATCCTTCCTAGCAGCACAAACCAATCTGGTTGTTTTCCTCTGACCTCTTTTATCAACAAGACATTTTCACCCACAGAACTGTCACTCACTCAGTGCTTTCTTTAAGGGTTTTTTTTTTTTTTTTTTTCTTTTTCTTTTTTACCATTCTGTATAAACTCTAGAGCCTGTTGTGTGTGAAAATCTCAGGAGATCAGCAGTTTCTGAAATACTCAAACCTGCCCATCTGGCATCAACAACCATGCCACGATTAAAGTCACAGAGATGGCACGTTTTGTCCATTCTGATTATTGATGTGAACATTACCTGAAGCTCTTGACCTGTATTTGCATGGTTTTATGCACTGTGTTGCTGTCACATGACTGACTGATCAGATAACTGATTAATGAAGCAGGTGTACAGGTTTTCCTGTTAAAGTGGACGATGAGTGTATATGTGCTTCTGAAGCATTGAAATGTTTGAATTCACAAGGTTGCTCAATCCAATCTGGCAACCCTGCTAGAGGGGATGAATGGTGGGGCTTTGAGGAAGGGGGGTGATGGGGAAAGGCTGAGCGTTTCTAGTAAATTTTTATATTGCGCTATGATACGCGAAGGCGAACGGTGGAGGTGAAGCAACGAGAGAGGGAAAGAGAGCAAGAAAAGGGGGAGAGAACGCGAGCCAACCGGTTAGGATTATTATTGCACGCCGCTAAGTTTAGCATTCAACACGTGTCGCTTGTGAGTGTGTGTGTGTGTGTGTGTGTGTGTGTGAGAGAGAGAGAGAGAGAGAGAGAGAGAGAGGTTGACGGTTGCTAGGTGACCGGGTGCATATACTGAATTTTAACAAAAGAGCTGGGAGAGAGAGAGAGAGAGAGAGAGAGAGAGAGAGAGAGAGAGAGAGAGGGGAGAGAGGAGAGGATAGGGGGAGCGAAAGAGAGGGAGAGAGTAAGTGAGCTCGCGAAAATTGAATCCATGTAGAATCTCTATGTAGGTGCATTTGCCGGGGGAGAACACGCCAAAAAGGGATATAGCCCGAGGAAGATGATGTGAAGAGAGCGGAGGGCCGAGAGGAGAGAGAGAGAGAGAGAGAGAGAGAGAGAGAGAGGGGGACAGGCGCGTGAAAACCGCAGTAAGTAGCCTTACATCTCTAATAAACATAACATCGCGATGCGGGCTGGGGTGATTTCCCCCACCGTCTGCGCGGGCTGGAAACGGGCGCACGGACAAGGAACACTGTTGCGGTATTTGATGAGGATGCGCGTGCGGGTGCGGGAACACGTATGTCTGATAGAGATGAGAGAGATTGACTGGTGCGGGATGGAGCGGTGGAAACCAGCCGGCGCGCGTGGGGCTTTGACCCTTCTGTCATTGCCGTGCGCTCGCTCATTGGCCATAAGAACTAGGACTTTTCTTGCACATACTATATCTCTCTCTCTCAGCACGCACGCACACTGGCACATACACACGCGCGCGCATGATTGCAGCATGTTTGCAGGACACGATCATTCTGTCAGCTCAGTTAATGAATTCATTAAAGAAAACAGCATCTGTGTATCAATGGCCATGGCATATTGAAGTGTGTTTAAAATTCCGCCTCTCAGGCCGCTTGAACAGAAGCAACAGCAGCATCAGCATCAGCATCAGCAGCAGTCTTAGTGCGCTGTCAGCCCGCTTCTCTCCAGTCGCGTAAACTGCGGCTTTATCAATTTCACGGAGCGCAGCTGTCGATAAAGCTCTTACTGTGCTCTGCGCACGGCAGGCTCTCTAACACCATCAAGAAGAATTTTATATACTTACACTTAACCATAAATAATAGAAATTCAGGCTGTTCAAGTGCAAACAAACGTGATTATTCTGTCCACGCGCTGCATGATTTTGGATTTGAATAGCAGAACATTGAGCCAGGGTCATTAGGCTATATGTCGATGCTGATTAGTTGATAGGCCTAAGCGGGTTTTTTTTTCTTGGCACGTGATCTGAGTGGATCTCAGCAAGTGGATTAACTATAATCATTGGAGTGGGGCCTTCATCATCCCATCATCCCCACTAACTTTGCATCTCTCCACTCCCAGCTTGGGTCTTACAAGAAGAAAATATTGATTTTTTTTTAAAAAAGACATTTTACTCCAAAGATAAGGAATGCTCACTGGCTCAGTCACCCATTGCAGGCTTAACACACAACAGGTCTGTAGTGTATTCAACCACTTGTGCCATGGATTCCTTGCAGTGGCCTCCTTTAGGAGATCAGTATTACTGCAGAGTTTAATCTTACCACAATCTACTGTAGGTTGGAGCTGAACTCTACAGGTAGGCAGATATTCAGGACGAGGCCTGGTCAGCCGTGAGTGAATTTCTTGCCTATACACAGCTTGTAAAATTTGTATGCTGCTTATAATGTCT